TCTCATAGTCTTTCACAGTCGCTCAGTAATTCCCTAGGTGTTTTTATGGATCTCTCACAGTGTCTGTATGAGAGACTCAAACGATAAAATTCTTAATTCAGAGATTCGAGTCTCTCGTTCAGAAATTCGAGTCTCTCGTTCAGGGACTGGGTACGAAATGAGGATCTGTCTATGAGCGACTCGAGTCTCTCCTTCAGAGACGCTAAACAGTTTTTCTGACTCTCTCAGCGACACCAGAGAGACTCGAGGAGAGACGGAGACTCGAGTCTCTCTTTCAGAGACTCTGAGAGATTGAACATTTTTATCTCGGGTAGCTTACTTAATTTTGGAAACAAATGTGTTTACTAATAAATTTTGGCGCATGTACCATCTGAGCCTTCGCTTTTAACCACCACTAATTTTCATATAAGGAATAAGGCACTAATAGAACACTAAATTCTCATGTGAATTGTTTTGTGATTTTGTGATGTGGGTGTAGTAGCATGATAGATAATAGTTAAGGTACGCAACGAGAATGCACGATCCAGAAAGTGGGTGAAGGTGTTCTTCCCTGCCAATAGTTAATGTAAGAATCTAAGGCAAGAAGGAGAATACCCTTCTTTGCTTACAATTATATTTATACGAATTACTTATGAAAAACCAACGCCAAATATTTTATCCTTTAGTACCTACAGGAATTTCTCAAGGTAGTCAGTGATTCCTTTTAACTTATTTCGGAAAGTCATCACGTTCTAAATGTACGTATAATTTGTTTTATATCAGGACCATTGACAACTGTCTAACATGAATTTACTCGTATTACTGGCTCAATTACATCGATGTAAAGCTAGTTTTGAAAAAAATTGTTTACACCTTGTTATCGCCATTTTGATTATGTTATAGTGTGAGAACTTGTTTCTGTAATTAGTATATCATATTTCCTATGCTTTTTTCACATTAAGCAATTGTCAATGTTGCACATGACCTTTTATTACCCTGATACAGAGCAGTTGATGTATTTCCAACACGTCCGAAGGAATTCTACACTAAAGGGTAACTATGGATAATAATTATATGTAGATAAACTTCTCACTAAATAATTTTGATTCATTTATAAAGACTTATTTTTAGATGAAAAGTGGTACATGTGCCACCTACAAATTTAAAATCAATATTCAATTAATTTAAAGTGTTTACCGTATATCTAAGTCGAAAATAACTCCACAAATACTCTATTTAAAGAACCGGATGCGTCGGTAATTACTGAATATTTAAATGGTTGGCGGTCGCTTCTCGTTAAGCATCATTCAGTACATCTGTTAATTCAAAAAGTTTTATGGTCATAGTCGAGTTACGCTATTTTAGGTAGGCCATTGTAAACTGCAGTGGAGAAGTTTTTCACTTCTGTATGTGTGAACACTTTGACTAATCAACTGCATATTTTAATATCAAAAGTACTTAGAATATAAATAGAAATAATCAAATTAAAAGAATATTATTGGAAGCATGACTTGATGCTCTAAGTAGAATCTTCAATCGCTGGCATTTAAATCCAGTAGGTTACACGATAAGGGTATGTAAAATACGACGTAAACGTAATAGAGAAACATTAGGTCTTTGAATGGAAAGAATTGTCAACAGCGCGTTTAAAGCAAAGTAAAAGTTTAGCATGCAATGCGAAGCAAAAAATTGTTAACACTAATAAAAAACTATACATCTTATTATTATATATCTGTGGACTTAATAAATAATAGGAGTAATTCATTTTACTTATTCCATGATTAGATAGCTACTGTTGTTCCATTATATTAATTTGTGACAAACAGAAGGTAACTATTCCACCACCGTCTCTAATAATAGTAACTAATAGAGTAAATCGAAATGAAAAGGTCTAACAATGTATCTAACAAATTGAATATTGTAAAGTGCTTGTTTTCCAAAAGCAAATTGTATACATTAGAGTACATGTGACGAATTATATACGCGGTGACCATGTCTGTCAATCTTCAGTACTATTACATTAAACTATGTGGATGTTTCATGTTACTGGCATGATTATAACTGAGGCTTGATCAAGATCAAAGAAAACACCATGTATCAGTCGAAGGCGTGTTAATGACAGCTTTAAGACTGACAAAATAGATACCGCCTTTCTTTAAATTTCATTTGATTTACTTACTCTAACCGAAAGGAAACTGTCCTTCCTTTATTCATGTGTACAAAACTCTGGGTTTGTGAAAGCAATTCAAAAATAAAATTCATATGAAACACTGTAGACTCATTCAAGATAGTTAATGACTATATTTCCAGAAAGTAATTTTCTTATGTTCCATAAACGTTATTTAGATAAATATTTGATGTATAGTTGGGACGATCAATATTGGAAAAGTCCGCAATAAACTATCTGTGAGAATAGACGTATCCTTTTTCTTGTTTTCACTTGGAACTCATTTGAAGTCATTTGCTGCGTTTTAAACTCCTCTTTCTTAAGTTAGGAAATGTTTACAAGGAGTACCAAGTAAAAGAGATAACCGAATTGCTTGGTTCTTCAAACATCTACTTTCCTTCATTCTTAAGAATGTTGAACTTTCTTCAAAGTCCGATGCTGGCAACATGATCAAATTCTGCTTGTCTGCATCTCTTTCTGTTACACTCAACTGATGTCATGTTATTCTCTTTTCTTTGTTAGTGTCCGCTGCAATTCCTACCTGACATCTCTTTTCTACGTTGACGATATTCCCTATATCGCCTGTCGTGTGTAAAAGTAGGCGTTTTGTCAGCAACAGTTCTAATTTAGTTAGTAAGTTGAAAGAAGAATGTAAATGCGACAGTTTCATTGCGGACTATGCCAATTTTCAACGTCTCAACTATAGGTATATCAAGCTAGCACAGCAACACTATATTTCTTATTTCTACAGTACGCTAGTTTGTTATCAAATCCAAACATTTGTAGGCTTTACTGGCTACCGGAAAGTAGATGAAGAACTAGACTGACAAGCTAGACGTAGAGAAATACTGTAAGAACTATAATTCGTCACTGCAAAATTGTACTTCTACTTATTTTGTCGCTAGCCTATTTTTTTTTCGGCTGACATTGCATATAGCGTATCTTCGAATAGAAATGGCGTAGAAAAATACTATAAGGGCTATAATTTTTAGCTGTAAGGTGGTATCTTTAGTCGAGCTGATCAGTGAAAAACGATTGGTCAACACAAATTAGTAGATATTGTTTTTTGATACTTAGCTGGATGCGCGACAAAATAGGTAAAAATACCACAAGTGACAAATTTTTGCATTTGGAGAAATATAAGTTTATCATACTAGCTTGAAATATGTAAATTTGGCTAATCAGCATACATAAAAAAAGAATCTTTGAAATTGATTTAAAAATATAGTAATTTTTACTCTAGCGGCATGGGAGTAAGTCTTATAAAAAGTAATCTATACAAAGAACACTGAATTTTTAATAAGAGTTACTTAAATAATCATATTTGACATGTTTTTTCTAGCTCTCTACGGTAATACATAATAACGATTCTTTTCTATGTGTAGGCGGTTTTTAACTTCATACTTATTATTCAGTAAAAGTTATGCCATAGTAAAATTTGTCTCTTAAGCAGCAGACCAGAGTAGCTATAAGAATAGAAACTTTTAAAACCGTTAACATGCCTGTCTACCAGTTAACAATAATTGTTTAGTACTTCTAGTACTAATCGTTTTTAGCAATTCCGAAGAAGTTATAAAGTTAATGATTGCAAGTGGACCATAAATACATGTACTAACGTATACATGGCAGATGGCGCCAGAAAATGGTAAAGCGTATAATGGCAAGCAGGCAGGTACCTGAGTAAGAATGGACATTTTAGCATAGTTATAAGTCACTTGAGATGCCCATAAAGTTTTACTGCTGAGAGAAACTTTTAGCCCAAAATACCATTTCCTGATGGCTCTGTAAGTTTCTTATTAGATGCGGCAAACGTTGGATAATAAGTGGACGGGCAAATAAGTCGGTTCAAATATAATTTAGGTAAATTATTAATACAAGCTTGGATTAAAGAACATAATAATAATATTATGATATGTCATACAGGAATTGTCATTGCGTTGATCAAAATCAAATAAAAAAAAAAGTTAAATCTACTAAAAAATTTAGGAACTAAGAGCTTTCAGCATAAGTATATAAACAAAATTTGGGTTTTTCATAAAACACTTGTTGCACCTATAGCTGCCTGTAAATGTTTGCGTTGTTGTTTTTTTTAGTAAGTTTGAAAATGACCGACTTGAAACACTATTGTCAAATTTGTAATAAAATGTGTTAAAAATATATACATATTAAAAATCGACATCAATTTGCCTAAATTAAAATTCAAATTCCATTTATTTTTCCTTCGTTTCTTCTGGTTAACAAATCAATACAAAATTTATTGTATGGACATGATTACACGTAAAGAATTACAAGTAATCCTTTTGATTCTGAAAAGAGTAATTGTTGAGTACAAAAACTCGTTGAAAACGGCTAATAAAATCTATTAATGGAAGGTCGTTGTCGTGAAAATCCGGTTATAATTTTCATATTGTTTCTCAAAGATCCAGTCTTATCGTGAACTTCTTTCAATTAAAATTGTTTTTACCAATAAATACTAAACGTACAGTAGCTAAACCCAATATGCAGACTTGTAAAAATGTATTTGTAAATTTCAATCAGGTTGTTAGTTATATTCTCCAATCTACAAACTTTATATTTATGTTTCTGAACACCTGACAGACAACTAGTCTGAATGTGAATGAATGAATGAAATTTTTTAATAAAAGTGATTAAGGTTTGTGTCTAGGTACTTCTAAATAAAAAGCTAGAACAAGCCATTTTCGCAAATTTCAATTTTTTTAAATTATGTATGCGCCTAAACCAAAGCATTGTTGTGTTAGATAAATGAAAATAAATTGCGAATATGTTGACGATTAATATCAGTGTTTTAAAAAAAAAGCGCATCCCCTGTTTGTCACCCTTTATAAAACCGTACCTTCTTCCATTTGAATCGGCGTTAATCCAGCAGTTGGCACGACAGCACAGCACAAACTTTTCCTTCAAATCTCGAAACAAGCAACTGTCACACGGCGCCGTCACTTTGAACCGGAAAAACCAACCCCATCGTCGAGAGGGTTGATCCCGCACACAAGCAGCACAAATTTTCCCAACTTTCAACCGCGTACAAACACCGTCACTAACGATTTAATAATTCCGAACTCGAGAAAGTCTGCAGTTTTCACTTTTGCGGGAGGACGGTTTTCCTTAAAATCAATATCTCGTCCATACAGGGAGAACGAGCGGTGCCGCTTTTTTTTTCTTTAATTTTCAAAGCTTCCGCGATCCCCGAGTCGCTTCGAAAGTCAAATCGTTATCGTTCGCTTTTCCAAACGTTCTGCGATTAGTCGTGTTCGCTCATTCACTCACAGTCGACTGCAATGCATGAGCAAACGTTCGAAACCGACTAGATTCACTTTTAATTCGAGCACAGCGTAGTAGTAGTCTGTCTGAAGTGGCAACTGGCGAAGCGATGCGATGGTGCTTTGTTGCGTTGGAGGGAGCGATACTCACTCACTGTTCCAGCTGTGTATAGATCGGGGCTGTAATGGAATCCAAACATTTTAGACCCCACATGAGGGTTCGCAAATGCAAGACGTACGTACGGGATGACTACGATGATCCATCGTAGTCTTCTTGTCGTAGACCGTAGACGGAATCTCTACCTTACCGTGGAGGGTTACTGTGTGTGCATGGGATGGTTACTCCGTGAAAAGGACGACCAGCTGAGTGGCATTCACGTATGCCCTCTTCAGTGTACCTACTCGCTTTCTATTTATGAAGAATGTGTTCCGAGATTCATGAATAGACTTGCAAAAGCGAGCATTAATGGCTAATAACTTGGAGAGAAGAAGGTTGTCTTGCTTTTATGAATCGTGAATGTAGAAAATGAATAAGTTCATATAGATAAAAAATACTTTTCTTAAAGAAAAATAATCTTGAGCAATATTAATTGTTCATGACACGTTTTTTTTATTATATAACTCATCATTTCTTTAGCACAAAAGGAGGAAGATCAATAAATGGAGATATCGCTGTTACTGCTGGTTTCAAATGCGGCTAGCTAAACGCTTTGCCGGATTGCTACACATTGCGTTTCGCATTAGGGTATTTGACGGTTTGTTATATCGTGAAAGAAAACATACGTTTTCAACTTTGTCACTACTTGCCAACACAATGATTAGATCTGAATTAGTTTCTTTTATTATTCAGTAGTTACATCGTAACCATTCGACATGCACTACATTCATGTTCTGTCTAATGAGGAACAAAAAATAATAATAAAACAATTATTATGTACATAAAAAGCATTAAAACAACCCTAACTGAAGAGAACTAATGACTAAAGTCTGTCCCTCCCTGAAGAAGGTAAATTTGTTACCGAAAAGTACTTTGGAAGTTCAGTATCGTGCTTTGACGTTGAGATTTGAGCTTTTCAGTGCTCGTGGTTTATATTATAACACAAGCATTAAAAATAGGTTACTAGCGAATTATTAGGTTTATCAGAGAAACAATAATCCCCTACTCAACCCTTTCCCCAATTTTAGGGGCAAAATAGTACATATGTCTAGATAGCAAGATACACGAGTTTTATTGTGTTTCATCTTTTACTTTTCCCGCGTTTAATTGTAATACAACTGTCACCAATGAACAAAAAGAAAAGAGTAGCCCAGAAGTCTAACTTATCCCTAAAAACTCCTCTTGATTTCTGAGTTTCATCAAAATCAGTTCAGCCGTTACGAAGATTAACCCATCAGACATCATCATCAAAAGGTTATCAGTCCCAAGACTAGTTAGACACGTACCACCACTTTTTCTGATCCTGAGCTAATCTTCGTATTTCCTTAAAACTAGAACATCTCACATCCTTAACCATATGTGAATAGTAATCTAACCTATATCTACCTCTACTCCTTTTAGTTCCTGTTTCTGATGATTGTGTAATAAGTTTCTAACTAGCCCTTCATGCCTGAGAAGTTGTCCTACCAGACTTCTGTTCTCCGATCCTTTCTCTGTCCACGGCATCGTCATCGTTCGCCTAATTTCGAACGCTTCTAATGTTTTTTTCCGCCACAACCACCATCCATATTTCGCACCCGTATAGCACCGCGCCATACACCCTTAACAATCTTTTTCGAATTTCTAAATTAAACCTTTCACGTACAAGTGACTTTTTTTGTTGTAGGCGACTCGACCCTGCGCTATCCTAATAGCATTTAAATAGTCATATGAGTTTAGAAACAAGACAGTTACTTTGATATTATAGATACGGACAGTAACGTATTATCTAATAGTTTTTTAATCGCTTGCAGGTCATTCAAAATCTACATCTATAAGTACGTAATAGGTTATTCACAGAAGGAATGTGCCAATAATAAAAAGTGTAGTTGATAATAATTGTAAAAAGGTTATCGTATTTACAATATGCTTTCAAGCAATTAAAATCAGCAACTTAAACGATAACCACTCTTTGTCTTTTTGTGTATGCAATGTAAAATGAAACGGTCTTATTCATAACTTAATAAACCATTTGTTTCATGAGTTCATACATATGTTAATTAGCATTAACGAGACTCTTCGCGTAGACAAACATATTTATAATTCACTTTTCGAAAAAAAAAAGAAATGAAATACTTAGGGTTAACAAACTCAGTTAATACTATGAAGAGAAGGAGAAGGATTATATTCTGCAATGAAAATTTCAATTTTCGTGAATGTTAGAAATGCATCGAGTTTATGTAAAAAACAGGATTTTTGTTTTAGTTTTGTAGGACGTAGTGCGATCACAAAATGTTGTTAAAGGTATATGTATGGAACGCGGCGCTATACAGGCGCGAAACATGGACGGTGTGCGCGACGAAAAAAAAAAAAGGTTAGAAGCGTTCGAAATGTGGTGTTATAGGCGAATGATAAGGATACCGTGGATAGATAAGATTAGAAATAAAGAGATATTAAGTAGAAAGAATAGGAGAACAGAGGACTCTTTGGAAGTCAATAAGAAATAGGCGAGATAGGTTAGTAGGACACCTTCTTAGGCATGAAGGTCCAGTCAGAGACATATTAGAGGCAGAAACGGGAGTTAGGAGGGGTAAAAGTAGACCTTGATTAAATTACTATTCGGAAATAGTTAAGGATGTGGGTTGTTCTAATTTAATGCGAAGATTAGCTCAGGATAGGAAGGAGCGGAGGTGCGTGTCCAACCAGACATAGGACTGACGACTTTAAGATGATGATGATAATATCCAATTTCCAATGAAACTAAACAATAGAACCGTATATGAATAGAAAGTGTTGTTCTCCTAAAATAAAGTGCTAGTGGAAGTCGAAGATTTTTGCCCCTTTTCCGAGTATATTTTAGTTTTCTCCCAAAATTGACTTCCAAAACCTACTTTTTTATCGTAGTTAATTAAGCCACGTGAGATAAAGGAGTATTAGACGCATAGTTTAGTTTATTTTTATTTTAAAAAATATTTCGAATTCAATTGGGGAATACTGAATCATTTTCGCGCATAATTCAATATTTCTGGTTCAAAATATATAATCCAAGCACTGAAATTCGATATCTAAGGACGTGTTATTATTCAAGTTTGCGACACTACACGTGTAGAAAAATAGTTTGCAGATGCATCTAACGACGTTCCTTATTGAAAGAAGAACGTCTTTTCTTGTCAAAAGACTCTGACCTGTTATTCAGAATGGAATGGGTAAGTTGCCCTTCTGTTATATTTTAAATGTCTAGGTTCGGGTGAAGAACGCCACCCCTAGGGGCACCAAAGTGACAGATGTAAAGCTTCCAAAAGGTCTGCACTCAATGGCATGTAGAACATGTTGTCGATAATGCAACGACATATATGTATATCTATAGGGGAAACTGAAAATGGCATATTTACGATCTTATTGGGAATAACACCATTATTATTTCACCAACGTATGCTAATACACTCATATGCATGCATAAGTCCTTAAGAGTATGATTCATAAACAGCGTAAATGAAATTAATCATAATCAATCAACGACAAAAGAGTTACAATTTATTTTGGAGCGTGGTGGAGCAATGGTNTAACGAGACTCTTCGCGTAGACAAACATATTTATAATTCACTTTTCGAAAAAAAAAAGAAATGAAATACTTAGGGTTAACAAACTCAGTTAATACTATGAAGAGAAGGAGAAGGATTATATTCTGCAATGAAAATTTCAATTTTCGTGAATGTTAGAAATGCATCGAGTTTATGTAAAAAACAGGATTTTTGTTTTAGTTTTGTAGGACGTAGTGCGATCACAAAATGTTGTTAAAGTTGTATGTTTGGAACGCGGCGCTGTACGGGCGCGAAACAAGGATGGTGGACGCGACGGAAAAGAAAAGGTTAGAAGCGTTCGAAATGTGGTGTTATAGGCGAATGATAAGGATACCGTGGATAGATAAGATTAGAAATAAAGAGATATTAAGTAGAAGGAATAGGAGAACAGAGGACTCTTTGGAAGTCAATAACCTTCTTAGGCATAAAGGTCCAGTCAGAGACATATTACAGGCAGAAACGGGAGTTAGGAGAGGTAAAGGTAAACCTTGATTAAATCACTGTTCGGAAATAGTTAAGGATGTGGGTTGTTCTAATTTTAGGAAAATGCGAAGATTAGCTCAGGATAGGAAGGAACGGAGGTGCGTGTCCAACTAGACTTAGGACTGACGACTTTAAGATGATGATGATAATATCCAATTTCTAATGAAACTGAATAATAGGACCGTATATGAATAGAAAGTGTTGTTATCCTAAAATAAAATCGGCCAAGTGCTAGTGGAAGTCGAAGATTTTTGACACTTTTCCGAGTATATTTTAGTTTTCTCCCAAAATCGACCCCCAAAACCTACTTTTTTATCGTAGCCGTGTTAATTAGGCCACGTGAGATAAAGGAGTATTAGACGCATAGTTTAGTTTATTTTTATCTTAAAATAGATTTCGAATTCAATTGGGGAATGTTGAATCTTTTTCGCGTATGTTTCAATATTTCTGGTTCAAAATATATAATCCAAGCACTGAAATTCGATATCTAAGGACGTGTTATTATTCAAGTTTGCGACACCACACGTGTAGAAAAATAGTTTGCAGATGCATCTAACGACGTTCCTTATTGAAAGAAGAACGTCTTTTCTTGTCAAAAGACTCTGACCTGTTATTCAGAATGGAATGGGTAAGTTGCCCTTCTGTTATATTTTAAATGTCTAGGTTCGGGTGAACAACGCCACCCCTAGGGGCACCAAAGTGACAGATGTAAAGCTTCCAAAAGGTCTGCACTCAATGGCATGTAGAACATGTTGTCGATAATGCAACGACATATATGTATATCTATAGGGGAAACTGAAAATGGCATATTTACGATCTTATTGGGAATAACACCATTATTATTTCACCAACGTATGCTAATACACTCATATGCATGCATAAGTCCTTAAGAGTATGATTCATAAACAGCGTAAATGAAATTAATCATAATCAATCAACGACAAAAGAGTTACAATTTA